TAAGATCACTTCCTAAATGTGAGATTTATTCCCAAAGTCTGAATACATTTCAGGGACACTATCCCACAATTCTTTGGTTGTGGAATAACACATATAATTGCTATTGATATCCTCCTCCATGGAGTTCACCAACCATGTCATCACCATGGATATTTTAGCATCCCACACAGTGTGTTGTAGGTCATTAGTGTTGGGCTTGGCTTGCTCCCCGTTAAGGTATTCAAGCTTTCCTTTTCCACAAATATACATTTGAACAAATTGGAACCACCGGAGATAGTTCAACCAATTAAGCACTTGAATATTAGGGTTTGAGAAAAATAGTGTGTGTGTTACGACAATGCACTTTTCTCGATAGGGACTGCAGAATAAGGATTTGAACATGGTTGTTCGTGGGTGTACGTTGATTAAGCATGTGTGTGTGCATTTGTTTGTATTATTTTGTTCTAATAAGATGGATTGGAATTTTAAAATAAGCAAACAGATAATAAAGAAAAAAAAAATTTATACCCCTTTGTACATTCTTAGATCATCATTTCATTAACATCATATAGGTAGTTTCGTTTTTTTTTTAAAATGAATAAAAGAAATCTCATCTCCATGCATCATTCCCCTTTAGATAATAGAAACATGATAAAGATTAGGCAAAAAAAATGACATGCATTCTAGATTAGCTCATTAATTTCATTCATTTTATTATATTAGCTAAGGAGGATTAGGTTGCAGTACGTATAGAAAGTTAAGAAAAGTGAATGCTCTAATATACGACAGTATCTGCGCTCTAAAGAAAAGCCCAAATCAAATTTTAAAAAATATTATGGTTGGGCCCTTGCTTTGATATGTTTGTTAAAGTAAGTCTTCTTAGAATCTAATATAGATTCTCGCTTAATACTGTCAAAATCTATTTGAGCATTCACAGATAAAAAAATCAATAAGACTGATATTTATTATTCTCAACTTTCTCTACATTCTGCATTACATTCATTTAGAACATATTCCTCCTTGTAAAAGAATAAATGAGAATAAAAAGGAAAATTAACCTATGTGCGTTTGTCGAAAGTAATGGAAAGTAAGCCATGTATAAAGAGTTTAGGGTAAAGAACTCCACAATCATTAAGACGCCAACTCTTACCCCAAGAGGATAAAGTCGTGTCGTGCAACCGTGAAATCCAAGCGGAATAGGAGAGACGACTAGGGATGGATGGATCCACACTCCTAACGAGTTGCAAGCTAATAAAGAGAACCTGAGGAGGACGAATCCCTCAAACACTAAGGCAAAGTGAATAAAGCTTTCTCGAAAGGTGATTTCAACAAGAGAGAAGCATTGCTTGTTAAGAAGTTGCTAGAATGAAAACCCGTAAAGGGCATTCTAGGCAAAAAAAAAAGAATGATGTTTGTTTGAGCTAAAAATCGAGAGACAGTTTGAATGTTCCTCTTGAGGAGCAAGACTCCATGGAAAGCTCTATCATTGCTTCTACCCATTCCTACTTCTTAGGAAAGTCTCAGAATATGGGTTGACAACACCTTCATGAGAGAAGAAGCCAGAGGACCTCCCTCTACACAAGATCTTCTGAAGTGCCACATCCAAGCAAGTGTAGGACTAGTCCTACAGTCAGACAACCTATGTCTCTATAAGGGGCAACCTCCCTTTACTTCTCTGTGTATGAATCACGAACTCAGGGCATGCCCGGGCCCTCGAGCTACATTAAATGGGCATGTATAAATTTAAAATTCTATTTTAATGCCATATACTTTTCTACTTCATTTCTCTTCTCCCTTTTATCTACTCTAAGTCTCGTCAACAAACCTTAAATGAACAAGTACATTTGAAATAAGGACGTCATTAGAAACAATGGCTTAATACGCAATAAAAAACACATAAGGATCAATCAAATTTGGCATGACTTGTGGATAAAAGTCCAAAGAAATCAGTGCAAGGGGCATCCCCCTTTAATGAGGGAATGAAAGATGATCACAAATGCTGCAAAGACAAAAGCCCGGCAAGAAATCCACTGAGAGGGCAACGCAAAAATTAGGGCAAGGTCCGCTAGGAGACCCACAAACAAAAAAGGTAGCCTAGGCAAAAGTGAGGATCAAAAAAGAAAATGTCCTCTAGGGAACACATCTCAAGTAACCTAATCAAAAGTTAGGACAAAGCAGCATCCCAAGCTGAAAACCGAAAGGCGGCTCGGGAAGATCATTTAATCAATATGCAATCCCAAGTCATTGCTTAACTTTGAAGGGAATAACAAGCTAACGCGAAAAATGATTTCCTCATTTTGAATGTGCTTGTTCATCAGCCTAAACCACTAGCCTACCTCGGCCAGTCATTCTTCTAAAAAACATTTTTGAAAAAATCCTTTCGAACAAAACTTTTGCAAAAAAATATATGTATATATATGGCATTAAGGTAAATTTGAGAGATACACGAAATATGCACAGTGAACACTCACAAGAAAAGTTGGAGGTGTACTACAACAGAGTCTAGGTACACCTGATCTAAGGGCTAACATATCATATTCGGTACAAGTGAGACGGTTGAACTACACAAACCTCAAGTTCAAGAAGCAACACTGAATTCGACAGGGCTAAAAGCTAACAATCCATGCCATTGATCAATGCGCATAGATTAATTTTTTGAAAGTAAAAATAAATTTGCATTTTAAGCATTAGCATAGAAGCATCATTGCATAACATGCATATGGCACAAGTGTGCACAAAAGGGTATAAGTTCACTAAAAAATAAATTTGAAAAATCCAATCCATTTCTGCTTTGCATTCTTGCATTCTTTGTGTGTGTCTATCCATCGCTTGTCGAAGGAATTAGGAGGCCGAAGCACTCGTAAATAAAGATCAACAGATAGACAGTGCCTTAAGAGCCAAGATCATGTTAAAAAGCATAACACCAACAAGGGCATTCCATACAAGTGGTTTCATATAGCCACCAAGAAAAGAATGACACGTCAACAACAAGACGGGATAGAATCGGACGAGGAAGAATAATAAAGTCCATAAGCATGAAGAAACCACCAATCCTTATTCTGTCTTCGACCGAGCTATACTCCTCAACTGAATGATGGAAGATCCATGAAAATGCCAAGATCAAGAATGTTTTCCTACCAAAGCCAGGAGTGGCTTCCAAATAATACTCATTAATAAAGATTGAGCAAATAACATCATCATGGGATGGGATCCCTCCACCAATTATGACAATAAAGAGCAAAAGCAACAACATGGGAAAAAGGAAAGCTTTGTAAATGTTGAAAAAGCCGAAGCATTTAGAAAAATAGAAGAAAAAGGCAAGCTTCAAAGAGCCGAAGCTAAACAAAAATGAAATTTAGAAAAGACACTACCACAAGCAGCCCGCCTGGAGAGGCATCAGAATACTCACCTTGACAAGAATAACACCAAATTCTTGCCAACCATCCGACAACGAAGATGTTTGGAGAGGCATCACAATACTCACATGGTAGGGGCAACACTAGAATCCCTGTCGGATTCTCAGTTCTCTAAATTGTTTAAATTGCTGACTTGACCCATTTTTGGACGAACCAGTTAATTTAGCCCTTTCATCCTCACTTGCGACACAAGCATATAATGGCTTTTCTCTTGCTTTTTTTTTTTTTTTAATCTTTATTTTATGAAATTCCTATGCTGAGTTACGATGTTCAGGTTGATAAATCCTCAATCAAAATCTCCAATCAGGCAGACTGCTACATCCTTTGACGGAAAGTAATTCTAATTCATCTTTATATTGATTTTGCTGCTTTTAATATTGATGCAATATTGTTTTCGTTTTTAAACTGTGGTCCTTTTGTTTTGTTATGTTTTAGCACTATTTTGAGTTGCTGTGAGGATGGGACAATATGGCGCTGGGATTTAATTACAAGCTCCTAACTCTAACTTGTCTCCGTGCAATATCAATCTGATGTGCGTCTCAAACAAGAGGGCATTTTTGGTTTATCACTTTATAATCAGTCATGTACACACATCAGGAACCTGGTTTATTGCATGTTTTTGGATTTTGGTTATGTAACTTATGATGAAAAAGGTTAAACTGAGGACTTGTAGTTATAGGTTATGTAAAAAAAAAAGATAAGAGAAAAGCCATTATATGCTTGTGTCGCAAGTGAGGATGAAAGGGCTAAATTAACTGGTTCGTCCAAAAATGGGTCAAGTCAGCAATTTAAACAATTTAGAGAACTGAGACTTCATCATAGGGTACCGATTAAGGGCGTTGTAGGGGTGCTTAATACCTTCCCTACAAGTAACCGACCCCCGAACCCAATTCTAGTTATTAAGGCCATTATTGAACTTTTAGAAACCTTTTCTTTTTCCAATATTTTAGCCGAAAGAGGTGATTTGAATAGAATGAGAATCGCCAAAAATGACCCTTTGTTCCTATGGTTGTGAATTTTGATCATCGTTGATGGCTAAGGAACTGTCGGCCATGATTGCAAATCAGATGCGGATAGATTGTGCTTTGATGCCAAGTTGAAAAATATGATATATTATTGATAATTATTTGTGTTGGGTTTCTTCCTTTTTATAAAGGGGAATTACATCAAGTGAATGAAGGAAACTAAATCCTAATATAACTAAAGAAGATATTACATTAGTAATAATGAATACCTAAAACAAGCTAAACTAAAAAAGGTAACAAAGTAATCATACAAAAAATAAAGTAATTACTAGCTATACAAGGAAAAAAATTAATTACACAATCAAACTTATTGACAAAAATATTTTAGGGAATCAAATAGAGATTTAATCCACTTTTGACATCCTATCAACAAGTAGTTATACAATTAGTTTGGTTGTTTTAGTTGGAAAGGATGGGGGACTTAGCTTAAAGCCTTAAATAGTAACCATTTGTAAAGGGGAGTCCTTTAAAAGAGAATTCTCTCATTTTTTTTGTTATCATTCATTGGCCATTACATGGGATTGGTACTTTCATCAAAGTTCTTCTACATGTTTAAACCCTTTACATGTTATTCTTGTAGAAATTCCTCTAACTGCAGAGCTTACTCTGAAAGAAGAAATTCCCTTCTCTGATGGAATAAGGTATGGTTCACCCATTAACTATGATTATTTGAATTGATCATTTAGGCTAATTCTTTGGTGTAACAGCTACGAAGAGTCGAAGAAGGCAGAGATCTATAATCAAACAATGTCTAGGTTAACCTCAGGTAGGATCACATAGCTTGAGAAAAGTGTTGTTTTAACATTTTGTTCTGAAATTTGTCATTGGTATAATTTATATGCTTGATATGGGTTCAGAATGTGGCAAAGCTTACTCAAGTACAATTAAGAAGGCTTCCAATGTGAGCCAAAATAATGACGGAGTTAAGATGGAAGGTATGTTTTCTGAAGAATGTTCTGAAAGATAGTGTCTCTTCATTTTGTTTTTTGAGTTAGCATTTCATTTCATATGTTTATTGTTTTCAACAGAATGTAAACATTGGCTAGTTTTAAATTTTGAATTGTTCAACCCCTATTTTGGACTTCATGTTTTGAAAACATTATACAACGTAATATAAAACAGTAAAATCCTGTACTCTAATACTTTTGTAAGAATGTCTACCTCTTGCTGTGAAGTAAGAACAAATGGCATGCAAATTAGGTTTGCAGCTCTTCTCTTTTAATGCAGGTGAAATTCTATGAAAGGAAATAGGACAGAAAAGGATGAATGCTGCAATAAATTACACACTTGGGTGATTGAGAGTCCTGTGGCTCAGCTTATTCCTCTAACTAACCACTTCTGTATTTGTATCTATATTATATAGTTTAGACTTAGATGGGTAAGATGGAATAGCTCGAGAGAATTGAAACGAGACCACACACGTGCTCAAACACATTGAATGAGACAAGTTAAATGGCTAGTAAAGTGGAACTATTTCATGTGTGACACATGAAATGCATGTGGTTATTCTAACATTTACTAATTGGTAATGTTACTCTATTAGCATTTGAGGCAGGGATTATATTAACCAAATTGGGTCGGGATCTACTATCACCCATATTCTTTGACATAGGCATATTTAATATGGAATCAGCTAATAGTAATCCACATACATCTTAAAATGCCTAATTTAGGTTCTTGTATCATATGATATCTAAATGTTTCATAGTTTCAAAGAAATCATGTTTGTCTGCATACTCAGCTAAGAAATTGCAGAATATAAATTCTATATACTAATGTTTAAAACTGCATTTTATGTAATAGAGTCTCAAGCAGATCGGAGCATTGGAGAGAAGAAACCTAAATTATCTGGGGAAGATAGGCCTTCTATGACAGAGTTGAGTGGATACAGTTTTAAGAGAGAGGAATTTGACATTGAATATGACAATGATGCAGAGCAAGTGTTGGCAGATATGGAATTTAAGGACACTGATACTGAAGCCGAACATAAAATGAAACTGCATGTGCTTCATATCTACTCAAAAAGGTATGAGTGAATTATTGTTGTCAATTCTGTGTAATTGTTAAATCATTCCTAGATTCCAACTTCTTTACTATCATATTAAGCTCTGTTTATAAAAAAGGATCATTAAATTCGTCCATTTGTGTAAATTTCATGATTGTTAAGCATCCAAACTAGTTTCTATCTTTATGTCAAGATTATGATTTTTATTTTCTTTATTTCAGATTTAGGTTTTGGTTTTGAGGTATATCATTATAGTCTCATAATTACATTCCCAAATAAGAGTATATTACTCTTGTTGTATCTTAGACAACTGACTTTCTAAACCCTAAACCCTAAACTTTCTAATAGAGTCCGAGGAGACGAGTCATTTAATCCGGTGGCAATTGATGGGCCAATGATTAGTGTTAAAAACAATTATTTTGTAGGTTGTTCAGCTTTTTAAAAGCTGATTTTTGGCTCTATCTGTCAAAAAGGGAAGTAGGCTCATAGGCTGAGAGTTTCTGATTAATGTATTTTGTTTATATATATATATATATATATATATATAAACCCTAGCTGAGGTGTGGCTGAGCACCTTTTTTGCAAAGATTTCAAATTTAACTTGGTAGCAGAGCGGGTTTGATCCCGCTCTGCTGTCCCTCCCTGTCTGGCGTTTGTCGCCGCTGTCCGCCGACGACCAAAATTTTCCGGCGACCTTAGGGTTTGGTGTGCCTTGTTGAGCGCAACCCAACCTTGTGTCTTTTTGGGGATAGAGGAGATCTCATGCACCCTCACGCACCGCTCCAATCTTCTGCCCAGTCACACGCGTGTGATTCATGCGCCGCCTTCTGTTCGTCAGAGCTTCTCCGCGCGTTCACCGTTGTGCTCGTCCACTCCTTCTGAGTCTGTTCCAGCCCTCTGTTCACGGTTTTGGGGGGCTGTTTGAAACGCGAATACTATTCATCTTCTTCTCCTCCTTCTTTGTCAAGTGAAATGTCCTCCGCAGGCCCTATTTTTCCCTTTGCTGGTACTCCCACCATCACTACTGCAAAGCTGAACTGGAAAAATTATTTGTCTTGGTCTGCCTCAATGGAGTTATGGTTTCTTGGTCAAGGATATCATGACTTTGGAGAAGGAAGTTAGTGACATACCCACTGAACATAAATCTCAATGGCAGAAACTTGACTTCCAATTATGTGATGTCCTATGGCAATTTGTTGAACCTGAGGTGTTATAGATACTCAGGTCATTTAAGACATGTCGTTCATTTTGGAAGGAAGACCAAGATATTTTTGCTAATGATATTCAACGTCTTTTTGATGCAACCCAGAGTGTAGCTTCTCTCAAGCTAGGGTGACCAAGATGCTGATGAGCAAGATCGATAGAAGTGGAGACACAAGTAATCGGTGGTGAAAGACGATATAATCCCCCAGACTCATATGCTGCTCCAATCGTTCGTCCAGTATGTCGATCCTAAACAAGAATAGAATTGTTAACAAACAAGATAGAGAAATCAAAGGTACGAGTGAGTTTGCCAATGAAAATTAAATTAAAAGGACAATCAGGAACAAACAAGATAGAATGTAAAGGGTGGTTAGAGAGTGGCTATGTTTGACCAATGCCATGAACTTTAATCTGAGAACCATTTGAAAGAGTAATAGATGGCAAGGAGGTTGAGAAAGACAAGTGAGAGTGAGAGAAGGGGGATTGGTTACCGGTCATATGATCACCATAGTTAAGAATCCAAGGTCCAAAAGAAGGAGAATTGGAAATAAAGGTTATAGGATTACCAGATTGAGCCACAACAGTGACAAGCGAGGAAAATTGTTGGGTTGGCCAAAATTGATGGAAATCATGATAGTTAGAGGCAGAAATAGTGAAATATGTAGGAGAGGAAACACTGCTCACTTGGGCAACATTTGCTAATTGTAACTGGTCTTGGGCCTTTTTGTGACAATCAACTTTAATATGACCAAAAAAGAGATAGTAATTATAACAATGATTTTGTTTTCCACGGCTGCCTCCACATCCACTACCACAATCAGATGAGTGTGAAACAAGAGTAGAGTAGTCAACAAAAGATGTAGAGGGATTGTCCACAATACGAGGAATGAAGAGATGCAATAATTGTTCACTAGTTGTGTCGTATATAAGAATTGTGGGGGTAGACAAAATTTGATTATGGACCTACGCAAGCTCAAGAAGAAGACCAACAAGTGTAAGAATCATGAAGAACTAGTGTTGTTGCTGCCCAAAAGTCTCCTTATCAGAGGGATAAGGCATCAAGTTGTTGTAGTCTGATCGATCAGACGGTCAAGCTTACTCAAATATGTCTGCAAATCCAGGTGATAACATTGTAAAGGCACTGAACATCATTAGCATAAGATACAAATATTGAAGAGGCGAGGCAATGAAAAACCAAAGAATTGTACACAATGAGGCATTAATTTGTTGCCATTGGGCTTGATCATCTACAGCAATGGCAGAAGCTTTGGTGGTTAAGTGGTCAACACGTCCTTGACCATGAAACCAAAGATGAACCATAGTTTCCCAGATTGTATAATTGGCCAATCCTATTAATTTCTCACACAAAATTAGGGGAACATTGGTAAATGTCGTGGACAAAGAAGAGGTGAGAGCAGCCATGGGAGATGAGGGGAAAAGGGACCAAAACCAAAGAGGCAAAGTAGAGGCCAAACAGAGCCAAACAAGGTCATTGGAGGCAGTCGGCCACAATTGAGGGGTCATTGGAAAACGATGTCACATGTAGGTACTATTCACGTGTAGGTATTATCCATGTGCGATATTGTTCACCGTAAAAAAATTTTAAGTTCTAGATACCATGTTATTTAGAAATTGTGTGTCAATCTTCAGCACACAACTCTTATTTATAATGAAAAAATAAGGATTTACATGATATCATATGATTAGTTAAGATATGATTAACCCTAATAAATCTCCACACTATCTTAACATAATTGATAGCACTTATCTTGCGTATGTTTGATGTGTTTATAGTATGAAAACTGGGCGACCTCCTCCAGCCCCACGACGACCTCTTCCATGCTCTTGACCTTGGCCATGACCTCCACATCCTGCAACAAAAGCAAAAATTTTTGGAGTAGTTATGGGATCATTACCTGACATTGTTTCCTGATAGGGCATTTGCAAAAAATGTCCCATGAGTTCTTTGAAGTAGGGACATTCGGGATGGTCAAGATTTGATTGTGAACAAATTCAAAATCATCGTGAAGGCCATGGAGAACGTACACCATACAAATATTATCCAACCTACTAATCATTTTCTTGTGGTCATCATCAATTAAAAGGGTTTTGACTTCATCAATTGTAGACTGGGCTTTGCTCATCATGGTCTGTCATTTGGAGAGTGGCCAAATTATGAATTACATCATAAAGGCATTGGACGTCATTTGAGTACAAGTCCCAAGCATTCTTCCAAATGTCTTAACACGTCTTGTAAATACAAAAGTAGACCATCAACATGGCGTCAATAGGTTGTCGTAAAAGAGTGACCAATTGTGCATCTGCTTTCTTCCATTGGTCACAATTTTGTTGAGTAATATCTTTGAGTCTTTTTTCCAAGTGATTGGCCAGTCCTTGACCAAGGAGCCATATCTCTACAGTTGTTTTCCATTACATATAATTACTTTTGAAGATTTTTCTTATGTAGTGGAAGGACTTTTAGAGAAAACAAAGGAAATCGTGCCTTTATTAAAGGATTCGACCATTTGGACATAGATGAACAAGGACAACAGATGCCAAAAAAGGTTGGACGACCTTTTACAGGAAGGTAAAAGTGGCAAGTGTGATAGACCAAGTCACGTTGCAAGCGGAGGTTGGGAAGGTGGTGCATGAAGCCCACAAGCTGATGAGGCTCTAAGGAAAAATATGTGAGGGTACGTGGGGGCTCTACTTGTGTCGCTGACTTTAGAATTTGACAGACCGACTCTATCTATTTCTGGTGTCGACGGTTTGACCTCAAATAGAGGTGGTCGTTAGGACAACGAGTTTGACAGCAACCCTTCTCGGAGACGTTCTCGACTTTTATCTGGCCCACGAAACCTAGCTCTAATATGAACTTGAAAATAAGGTTATATGACCTAATCCAAATGCTTGAGAAAGAAGGTCCTCAACAACTTTATTTATATTCAATGATATGCAATATATTTAATTACATAATCCTTTAATTGTAGGGATGGAAATAAACGGATACAAATCGGAAATAAACCAGAAATATAATAATAGAAATACAGAATAGAAATAGTGAAAATCTAATCAAATCTCAACATATATCTATACTAGAAATAAATTATATCACAGCTTTGTATATAATTAAATGTGTTTATATAATTTCAAAGTGTAGATATCCACAGGTCTAGGTACCTTTGTATCCACGCTCTTACATCATTAATAAGTACCATTTAACTATTCATTTTTGAACTTATTATCAGAAGCGGAAGAAATCATTCTTCTTATTTTATTCAAATGATTGGTTTTTTTTTTTTGGTAAAGATAGGAAATATTACAAAGATGGTCGCAGTGAGGATTGAACCTAGGTCCTCATGTTTCTAACTACTCCAACCCCTCCCCACCCAACCACTAGGCTAACCCTAGTGGTTACAAATGATTGGTTTAGTATATAAATAGGTAAAACAGGGAAATAAAAAAGGAAACAAATAATAGGCAATTCCTATAATTAAATAGGAATCCCTATAAATCAGTAACAGCAATAAAGAATAAATTGTAGATCCTAATACCTGAAATTCTGCAACATAATAATATCCCATAAATTTTCGGATTCCTATCCAACACTCCCCCTTAAGCTGGTGAATAGATGCTAGTCATTCCCAGCTTGCTAATATTAGACTCAAAATCTGACTTCAATAAAGCCTTTGTCAGTAGGTCTGCTTCTTGTAATTTGGTTGGAACATAATGTAGAGAAAATGTACCATTTTCCATTTCTGAATTGATGAAGTTTCTGTCAATTCTTACATGTTTCATCCTGTCATGTTGCACTGGGT